AGGTCTCTATTTTTATGCCCCAGCACATTCTTACAGCCCAGTCTAAGCTTGTGCCTTTGCTTTATTTCTCCCTGTGACCTCTCCCCTTGTAGATCAATTCATGGCTGTGCTGAGGAGAGGAAACCTCCGTTTTTTCCCAGGTTTCCCTTCCTGCTCTGTGTCCCTGCCGTGTGAGCAGCCACCGCTGAGCGGCAGCGCTGCCTGGGGAACAGCCGTGCTCCGGGGGCAGCTCCAAACCCACGGATCTCCTCCCAGCCCCTTGCTCTTTGCTCCATCACCCATCCAAGGCGTGGCTTTCCTTTCTCCAGCCTGCCAGCATTTTTGTGTTTGGGGTTGGTACCTGCTGCCCATCGTGCCCGCTGTGTGCGGCTCCAGGACCAGAATATTGCCGCAGCAATTGATGCTGGAAGGAGCTTTCCCTGCAGTGGGCAGTCAGGGATCTGTGGAGTTGGGGTCTCCCCATCCTGTGCTGTCTGTTTGTACATCTCTAAAGAGGGGGTCTCCTAGACCAAAAATGGATTTTCTTGGGGTGGATTATAGCCTCTTTATCCCAGCTTAACATAAAGGAAATCCTAGAAACAGCCCTGAAGGAGTGTGTTCATGAAAGCTTATCCATGCTTAAAGGTTGTATTCATTTAGCTACTTCTGCATCATTTTTTAGTTAAGGTCAGTGCAGCTTTATGGACAGTGAGACTCTGTGGGGAGGAAGAATCTGTGGTTCTTTGTTTTCCACTAACTCATCTGGTTGGGAATTGCAGCTCTTTAATTAAAGCAGCACAGTACAGCCTGGCCCTGAGGTGCTGTTCTGAGGCACTTGCATTCACATCTGCTTTTGGGTAAAGCTCGGCCTGTTTGGGGTCAGCCTGTGTCACTGCGTGTCCGAGAGCAGGAGGAAGCAGGGAATCAATCACTGGGGCTCTGTCCCCGGCTGCCTCAGCTCCCTGTCAGCCAACATCCCCCCGTGTGCCATCGGCAGAGACCCCTGGAGCGTGCACCTCACCCTTCCTGGGGGATTCGGGGAATCGTGGCAGCACAAGGATTTAATTACCCAGCATATGGAGAGCTGAGGGGAGCTCAGAGCCACTGCTGGGAGCAGAGGGCGGTGACGACAGCCGGGGCTGTTGTTGTTTAAGTCGAGTTTCCCCCACCCTCCCTGCGTTTTGCTCAGTCAGTAAATGGCTCCGTGTAAACTCCTACGGCACAAGGCGGCACGCGGGAATGCCGTGGGCAGTCGGGCTGGGATCTGTGCGCATCATCTGATGTTGTTGTCCATGTGGCATTTGTTTAGGTTGCAGTTGGGAAAAGTGATTTGTTACTGACTGTGGCCAAGAGAATGTGGAGACTGGCAAGGAAAAGTTGATTACATGGGATTTTTGCCTCCCCGATGAGTGGGATGGACTTTGGAGAGTTATTTTTGGTTGATGATGGAGTGGGGGGAGAAAGTCCAGGCTGTGTTTAAAACTGTAGCATCCATTGGTAGTACCAGCAGAAGTGCTGAGGAAAGTGGTAAACTCATATAAAACACTCCCGGGCACCTTCAGGAGGTGCTGGAACAACAAGGGTGTTGAAGGGTTGTGCTGCCCACACTAAAAGCAAAGCGTCCACCCTTGGCCAGGCTGGCCCTGAGCACAGAAAGCTGCACATCCAGCACTGACCCTGGGAACAAAGGATCCTCCTGAACCCAAACATGTTTGTGTTAATCCCGGCTGCTTCCTGGCGGGCAGCGAGAGGAAGCGGAGCCAGTGCCTGTAACAGATGTACAGTGAGGAGATTACAGGGTGCGATTAAACACCCTCTCCATCACATCCTCCCTCGGCCCAGCGCAGCAGAAATGGACTGTCCCAGGCTGCCTGCCAAGCTGGGGCAGATGTAACAGGCAGCAGATTCTTAATCTCCTGTCTTCATGCCTGGTTTGGAGCCATTCCCTAATTTCAAGACTTCTTCAGCACCTAAAGCATGAGCTGCCTTAGCTGTACCTGCCTGCAGGGAGGACTGAGCTGGGAGAAGGCAGGAGGACTTGTGGAATTCAGTGTCCAGAAATGATGCATTCAGCTGAAGTGCTGTTAAAGCTAAAACACAAGTTCCCCTACCTGAGTGCAGCAGGGTTTGCTAAGGGACCAAGTGCTGAAGAAGTCGGGAAGGATCTTTATTTTGGTGGTCTGAGTTGCTTTTTGGCCACTACACTTGGAGTAGATGATTTCAGGTCTGGGAAGGACTTGTTCCCTCTTTGTGGGTTTAGGTGGTGCCTTACATTGCTGTAGCCAGTCTTGATGCCAAATGCTGCTCTTCCCATGGAAATAATCTAGGTTGGTTGCAAAAAATCAGCTATTCCACTGCATGTTTAGGTTAATTAATATGATATTTGGAGAGTATCTTCCATTATCAAATGAAAAACTGGTTCTGAAGTAAAAGAACCCTTTGTGGAAATCGTAGAGTTCAGAATTGTCATTGTGTGAGATGTGCAAAACCCTCATCAGCCAAGTGGGTTGGGTTTGACTCGTCAGAAATTAAACAAGGACCCTTTGCTTGGGCAAGGGCTGTGAGCTCAGTTGTGGTACCAGAGCAGTAGCTGTTGTCTGAACCATGAGCTTCCTCCCAAGTTCCGTGTGAAGGGGTCCAACAATGTGCCATTGTTTTGGGTAGAACAAGGGGAAAAATCCAGCAGGTTCTGCTAATGACACGTGTGTGGTGCCAGGGTCTCCCATGGAGAGGCCGTGGCTCAGTCAGAGGCAGCAGCAGGTGACACTCGGGAGTCAGGAAGCCACAGGACTGTCCCCTTCACGGGGTGCATTGGCACAGGCACAGCTGCCTGTGGGTTTGCAGCTCCTTGAGGACAACACAACTTGGGAGGGATCCCAGAAACGCGCACAGCTGCGGTGGCACCCGCTGTGCCGCAGGCACACGGGGAACCGGATACCTCCTGTCGTGTCATCCCAGGAATCTACACGGCCATGCCTCTTCCCTTTCTCCTTGCCTGCACAGAAATCCCTTCTCCTGAGTGTAGGAGACAACTGTTTGGCAAATAACAGCAGCCTGGGCTCCAGGGAGAGCATTGTTTCCAATAGCCACCAGGCTGGAGGCAGGAGCAAAAGGGAATGACTTGGGATGAGGGTCTAAGCGACACCATCTGCTTCAGAAGGGCATCGTTTGGGCAGCAGAGGAGGCTCCTGGAGTTAAGTAATTGGGAATAGCAGGCTCCTGGCTGAAAAATGTGCCAGCCCTCCTGGCAAAAAGCTGTTAAATCTCTATTGCTGGCGTGTGGAAGCAGTTCTGTGTAACAGGGCTCCAAAGGCTCTTTTTAACCCTTGGTGTACATTAAAAAAACCCAACCTAAGGCACTTTTGATCTTGGAATGGCATGTGGCCAGGTGTTGGGAATAAAGGGGAAGGTGGGTCCTCATGGAGGTATGTGAACAGCTCCGAGTCTGATCCTCCTGTGCCGCCAACAGCCAGATGTGGCCTGCCAAAAATGCACACAAAATGGTGCCTGTTTTAACAGCTTTAACAGGAAAACGCAGGGTGTGATGAATGATTCATGGGAATCAATAGAACCCGAGGCATTTACTGCCCCTTAAAACCAGTGCCTTCCTGCCAAGGGCTGCATTTGCAAGGTGAGTGGTGACAAAATCCTCTGCTGAGTTTTGGGATGCAGTCACACGCTTGGCTCCACGCTTGCTCCAGCCCTTACCCCGCTGTCTGCAAACACGTCCGGCTCACCAGCCAGGCCCAGGAGCCTTTCATTCTCCAGATGAAAGCACCAGCAGTTGGGCATCTCCCAGCGAGCACAGATACAAACAAGGCCCCACTTTGCATCCCCCCCTCCTAGGGTGGCTTCCTTGGAAGCTTTGGCCTTCATCCTGTTTGTCTGATTCACGATCAAAAGAGTGTTGCTGCCTACGTGTGTCTTGAAGCATTTTCTTCTTTCATATCTCACATTAACGTCCAATTTCTTCATTAAAATAAAATGAAAGTAATGCAGTCAAGTAACATCTATCTCTGCAGTGGTCGTATTTTGCTGATTATGAGAGCAGGGCTGGGCAAAGCTCTTTTGGGACCTTTTCTGGTGTGCAGGGGAAGAGGATGCTACATAGCCAGATGGGTTTTCCTGCCAGGGGGAAGGTTGATCTAAGAGTCCAAGCCCCAGCCATCCTGAAGATGAAACACTTGGATCATAAAACATGTATTTTTTTCAAGTCTGATCTGGAGGTTTTTTAATCTTCCTCAAATTAAAGAAAAATCTCTTGTTTGACCCAGAACAAAATTGTTTTCTTTGGCCAGCCAACTGAAAAAAATTAGCTCTGTCCCTAGCGTTGGTCCAAGCTCCCTTCCCCGTTGTTCCTCCACAGCAATCCTGCTCCATGCAACTTTACCAGTCCTGGATTAGAGCCCTGTTGCTAAGGAATTTGCAAGAACAAGAGATTTCATCCACTTGCTCTTAGTCCAGCTATTCTGGTTAAGTTTGTAAATATTTGTTCATTTTCCACCTTGGTTTTATGGATGTTTGTCCACATTCTGTGTTTTTCAGCTGTTTAATCATTTATTTTGTCAGATTTTGCAAAACAATGTATATATATTTGCTTGTGTGCCTGGTGAAGCTGAGGTTTTAATGTAACTGCAGGGTTTCCATCAATGGTAGGGTTAGAAGCCCTTTATATGAAGGTGAAGGATTTTGGTCAGGAAACAGATGAACTTGATGTCCTTTTGGCACATTTTTACCTCTGCAGTTTCCTCTGGTTTGTGACTGGTGAACCTGGTAGCTGTCCCATGAGTTTTAGGTGATTAGGATTTATGGATTAATTTTATATCTATTTTCTTGTAACTTGGAAAGATCTTTGGTTCCCATTAGCTGTGGCCTTTGGTCTCCAATGGAGGATCAACCTGGCAGCCTCACCCTCACCTGAGAACCTGCAGTTAGATGGGGGAATTTTTACAGTTCTTAAAGCTGTTAGTAGTGTGCTGAGTCTTTTATTTTCTTCCTTTAATGTTTGTTTTCCTCCCCAGGAAACATGTCGGAAGTGCCAGGGGCTGTGGAAGGAGCACATGAATCTCACCTGCGAGCAGCTGGCTGAGAAGGATGACATCAAGTACAGGACATCCATGTAAGTGAAACTCCACAAAAACAGGGGAAAACAGGGAGGTGGATGGACTGGGAATCACAGTATGTTATTCCTCAGTTTCTGCTGGCTGTCACTGCCTTCCCCAGGAAGGTGCTGGGGATGGCAGAGCTGAGGGGTCAGACAGCTCCCAGGATGGGATTTCTGTCTGTGAAAGATACTTGGCAGCAGATCCAGCTGGTAATTTGAGAACGTGGGAAAGTTGTCACCAGCCCAGCCTGCTCCTCTGGCTGGCCCAGTGTCTGCAGGCTGGCACCTGGTCCTTCTCAGAGGTGAGAAACCCCCATTAGCATTGCTGGGGGGAGAAGGGAGGTGGTATACTGAGGCAGAGGAGTGGATTGAGTCACAGCAGGTCGTTATTACCCTTTGAAAATCTGGAGTGGAGATCTGCACTGTTTGCTCAGCTGCTGCTTTGTGGGTGAGGATGTTTTTTCCTCCAGTTGCTTTTGCCTGTTTCTAACCAGTTTGTAGGAATTGTTACAAAGTGCAGTCACAATTTGAAATATGCAGATGTAAATCCTGACTGTTACCCTAAAATCTTTTGCAGTTTGATTTCTCTCTTATCTACAGTAAATGACAAAATCCTCTGTCTTTAGGAAACAAGGGAATTTTCATCCATGGAGCTAAATGTCTGTTGCAGGCAAGTGGGACTTGCCCACATTGCCCAATCCCTTCCTCTCTGATTTAGAGTCTGTCTGGCATGAGTAGAGGTTGTAAAGCTCCACCACTGGGATTTGAATGACTGTTGCTTGCTCATCCCACAGTCCCTAATTCAGAACAAAATCTTTACAGATTTGATATGACTTTTTTTTCTCTGTTGATCCTTTCCCTGTAGGAAAGAGGGGTGAGAGGGAGGAAGAACGAGTTGTCATGTCCCTAATAAGGAAAAAAATACCAGTTTCAAAACCTTCAGCAGATTGTGTCTGTGGATAGATGGGTCTTAACTGCCTGATACAATAAAAACTTCCTTTTGAAGCCCTGCATAAGGAAAGGGAAGCCCAGCTGGAGTTCAGGCTAAACTTCCTGCCTTGCTCAAAGTTTCCAAAAAAAAAAAAATCTGCATTGCCAGCATCCTGTTGAGTGGCGGAGGGAAGAGCAGCTGCAGCTCCACAGAAAGTCACTCTCAAGTTGGGGTTTTTGTGTCTATTCTTAGCACATCTCCACATGCCTGTGTGCAGGTTGTGCTGGGTATAACTGTGTGGGAACCTTGGGTGTCTGCAAGGCTGGGAAGTTCCCACTTCACCATTCCCTGCTCCTCTGGTTGTGCTGATGAAGCAGTTTGTGGGGCTGTGCTGTAGCCTGGTTCGCTGCTGTAGTACTCAAAAACACCTCTCTGCCATCTCCCAAACATTTGTTAACTTTGCAGATGCACTGAAGCAGCTGGGTGGAGATCCCTGGCTAAGGATGGTCCTTCCTCAGTGTCAGAAGAATTGTGCTTCCCTCCATGAAAACACACTGCCTTTGCTCTGCTGTCATCAAATTTCACTTCTAGATTGTGAATTGAAGTGTAACGTGATCTCCAGCGGTCAGAAAATTGGCCCTCAGAATGATAATTTATATTCTTAAGTCTTTTAATTAAATGACCCAGCCTTTCTTACTTTCTGTGCCAAAACATCTTGCTGTGAGCTGAGTCTGTGCTGGAGCGTGTGTCGCTGCCAGGGTGTCCCTTGGGAACAAGGACTGAGCTTTGTCCTGGATTCCCACTTGTGCTCTGGTAGATGAAAACCCATCTCTTAAACTTTAAGCAATAACCCCTGCAAAATTTACGTAGGGAATCTCAGAGAAAAGATAACGCCTCTGTAGGGAAATGTGATTATTTTTTAGTTACTGATTTAAATTTAACAAACACTAAGTAAATCTGGGGCATAGCAGCCAGGCTTGGAAAAGAAATATGTGGTCGTGGCAACTTGGTAGCCAGAGCAACAGCCAAACATAAAAGCTGGAGGTGACAGCCAAATGTTTGCTTTTCTTGAACTTTATCTCCTTGGCTGTATTTTCCTTCAGCCAACTCAAGCATCCATGTGCCCTTTGGCCCTTGAACTTGCATCTCAAATTCCTCCCAAGCCAAAGCCTGGTGCTTTGGCTCTCATGGAAACCAGGATCAGGGCTGCAGCATGCAGCCAGTGATTGACTTTTTTTAGTTTATTTTGTTCTTGAGTTGTCGTGGGCTGGCTCCAAGTGGAGCTGAGCCCAGACCTGCTTGGAACAGCGGTGAACTTGGGGACAGAATCAGAGGGAAGAGGAGGGGGTTAAAGCCCTGCTGGGGTAGTGTAACAGTAATTTTATCACAGGCTGGTGAGTGCAAACACCTCTTTGCTAATTCTCCCTCATCTTGCAGAGAGGAGAAGATGACAGCTGCCCGGATTAGGAAATGCCACAAGTGTGGGACGGGCCTGATTAAGTCGGAGGGCTGTAACCGCATGTCGTGCCGCTGCGGCGCCCAGATGTGCTACCTCTGCCGGGCTGCCATCAACGGCTATGACCACTTCTGCCAGCACCCCCGCTCTCCTGGGGCACCCTGCCAGGACTGTGCCAAGTGCTCCCTCTGGACAGACCCCACAGTAAGTAAAGAAGGATTTCTGTGAATGATTCTCACTCTGGTTTCAATCACGGTTCACACCGGCACATTGCAATACACACATTCCCCTGGGGGAAAATGCTTTTAGCCAGCACAACTTTTACCTTTCCCAAGGCAGCTAAAAAACCCATACTGGGATCCTGCAACAGCACAGAGTCACATCTGACCACAGCTTGGAAGGAGCTGGTGTTGCTTCAGGGAGAATCAGCTCCTGTCAGATGAGGGCTTTGGCTGGAAGTGCTCTGAGTGCTGTTCTGGAGAGCGAGGCTTATGGAAGGAGCTGGTGGGGGGAGCAAGTGCTGGCACCAGGCACAGTAGCCAGCATTGGGATTATTGGGACTCATTCCTACTTTTGCAGCTGAGATGGTGTTGGCATGGCTTGGCATCTGGAGGCAAGGGGAATTGCGGTTTTGGTGCCCAGATGCTGGCTGTGAATCCTGTCACAGAGATGGACCCATCAGAAAACTGCCTGCAAGCCCAGAGTTGTAGTTGGGCCTGTTCTTAGGGTTGTTGTCAACAGCTGCAGAGGGAGAGCTGAAGCGTGGAGTGAGCTGTGAGAGAAGCTGTAGTAATTTAATACAGCTCGTATCTGTGACAGGCTTGGGAAAACTTGCTGCAGCAAGTAAGTCTCTGTAAATAGAGGTCTTCAATTCTGTAAATCCAGGAGTGCTGGAAGAAGCAGGAATTGAATTTCCTGATTTTAGCAAAGCCGTAGAGCAACATAAATGTGGATCTCCTTTCCAGGGCTTGCCTGAATTTCATTTTTCCTAGTGGTTCTTTGTCTTGGGTCTCTGCAGCTTTCCAGGCTGTTCCCAGCCCCCCTGTCTGCAGGGAATGTGAACAACCCTGCATCTGCACAGAGCCAGGGAAAACCTACTCTAAATCTCCCCTTTCTACCTCCAGGCTCTTGGGGATCTCCCAGCAATGTCACAACCAGCATAAACTTCCAAGTCTTCTGCTTGCCTGCTTTTATTCCCTGAATTATCCAATGTGAGCTGTTAAACTACACACAGACACCTCCTTGCAGGCACCCCTGTAGCGTTTCTGACACCTGGTTCTGAGTTTCTTGGATTCCTGTCCCACTCCTCCTCCTTTTCCAGCAGGATGCGATTCAGGGCTCGGCAGCGCTGGCATCCATCGTTCCTGTCAGGCTGCTGATTGTGCTGGGGGGTGGCATTTGTTCAGAGCCAGAGAAAACATGAGGCCTCTCAAAAAAGCTCGTACTGTACTTTCAAATAAATAAATAAATAAGCAGCACAAAGAGGCCACTGTCACCAGGCCCTTTCCACCTCTCTAATTAACCAATGTTGTGGCAAAGAAAAATTTCCCACTGTCAGCACAGAGCCAGCACTGCCTGCTCTTTTATTATTTGATTATTTTTTGGATGATGGAGTGCTGGTGGCCTGGGGAGGTGAAGTTGGGTGACTGTCCTTGCTGCAGTGCAAAGAGTAACACAAAACTCAGCTGTTGGCTTGAAGCTGTGATGATGGTGGGTACCTGTGTGCACGGTCCTCCCTCATAAGGGGCTTAGGGACACCAACCCAACCCCTCCAGGGTGATCTGTGCTCTCATATGGGACGTGGAAACAGGAGTTAGCCTGGTAGATGTAAAGATGGAAACAGAATTTGAGTCTTGACAAGGAGATTTGAAAGAGCAAGAAACCATTGCATCAGTAGTGTTCTGTCCTTTGCCAGGGATAATGTCCATCCAAGGCATGACCTTTGAAGGATCTGGTTGGAGTCTAAATCCCTATTATTTACAGCAAAATTCAGGTTTCTTAAAAATAGGGAACCTTTGTTCTTTTCCAAATGTTTAATGTTTTCCCAGTCTGAAACAATTCCTCTGAAAGTATAAGTAAACCTATTCATTAGCATGGGTTAAAAACAAATTAAAGACAGTCCTCTAGGAATGGCAGCATCTGTTAGTCTTTGTCTCAAATGATCTTGAGAGAGTAAAGCAGAGGCTTCAAGATTTCCCATAATTAAAGGTTAGTTAAAATCTTGTCCCTAAGCTGTAATCAGGCTGGAGTCCGATTTAAAAGTATCGGTGCAATATTTGCTGGCTCCGAGACAAGCTGCAGTCGTGCTGTGATGAGCAGCTTCAGGGGGCAGGCAGGAATTGTTAAATCCCTGCATTCCTTCTGGAGCTAATTGGTGCCCTGCACCCCTGCAGGAGGTGCCAGGAGCCCTTCCCAGGAAGCTGCTTGGCCAAAAGTCCTGGTGTCCCCCAGTCCATGCAGGCAGGAGAAGCTGATGCAACGATACCAGAGACAAAGCTCAGGAGGGAGCAGTGGGAATAAAGCTGTTAGAAAGCATCCAGAGGTGGAGGACCTTGAGGGGAAGCTGTCTGTTGAGTGGCTGAGGTTATTTGGTTTGTTCAGCTGGAGGAGACTGAGGGGCTTATCAGGGGCTGCAGCTCCTCCTGAGGAACGGCACATGGGCAGCAGCTCCAGTCTCTGCTCCCTGTGAGCAGGAACAGGACCCAGGCAATGGTCAGAGAGGTTTAGGCTGGATATCAGCAAAAGGTTCTTCCCCCAGAGGGTGCTGGGGCACTGCCCAGGCTCCCCAGGGAATGGTCACAGCCCCATGGCTGCCAGAGCTCCAGGAGTGTTTGGACAACACCAGGCACAGGGTGGGGTTGTTGGGTGTCCTGTGCAGAGCCAGAGGTTGGACTTGATGATCCTTATGGATCCCTCCCAACTCAGGACACTTTATGGTTCTATGAAATGGCTCTGGGTTGCAGGGGCTGTGTTTGCCCTGATTTTTAAATATCTGTAGCAAACCTAAGGCTGCTTGTGTGCGTTTCATCCAGTTTTTACAAATCCTGGGGTGCAATGTGATGAATGCATTCTGGCTGTTTCGGTAAATGAGGTTCTGCTCTCAGATGCATTATTTTGAATTTAATACTCAACTTTGGGCTATCAGTAATATTGTGCAGAGGCTTTTTTTTCCCTTTAAAGTTTTAAGATGTTTTCAGTAAACTCTTAAAACCCTCCCAAAGGCCCATCGTTAAAGTTCAAAGCAGAAGACTAATAATCATGAGGTGTTTGCAATTATCCTTCCTTCTGGTATTATAAAAAGATGATGTTGAGAGAAGACTGTGTAAAACTTCAAATGCATCAAGGAAATGCATAAAGTGCACAGTGCTGCCTTTAGGATTTGGAAACGGGGTGGGAGGGAAGCTCCCCTAAATTTAGGATACGGGGCTTGTGGTGGGTTTGGGGATTTTTTAACTGCTATAAAACGCCTCAATCACAAGCACATGGTTTAATGCAGGGAATTCACAGAAAGCAATCGATGTGGAATGCCTGTTGCAAAAATAACTCTGCATTTCTCCAACGCTTCGTCCCCATGCCGGCCCCCCTTTTCCTGCAGCACTGCGGATGCCCTGTTCCAGTTACAACACAGCCTGCTTTTATCCCTGCTTCCTGCTGCATGGAGGAGCACGGAACAGCCCATGCCTGTTCTTGCTCAGGCTCTCCGCAGCTGATCTGGGAATGATTTGAATCAAAACCCCTTAGTCCTTTGGAAGCCTCCGTCGTCAAAAATCATTTCAAGTTTATTAGGAACGGCTGCGGCCACACGTACGTGGAGAAAAGAAAGCAGTAAAGAGGCAGAAAAGGGGAGGCAGCGGTGCTGAAGCACTTTCTAAAGTAGGGGAGGGGTTTCAGAGCCCAGAAATAGGCACCAGGACTCTTGTTTTCCCTCTTTTCAGGAGGTGGCAGCCACTTCCCGGTGACACTTAATAATTAAAGATAACGAGAAGCGCAGGAGATAAAAACAGAGCTTTCAAAAGCTCCCTGGATGGCACTTTTGTTCTGGGCAGAGGAGGTTTTATTTGGGGGGAGGTTGTCTCTGTGTGACTTGCAGAGCTTTTATCTCCTTTGCTGCTGTATTTTCTCATTCCCAAGGGCAGTTTGTTTCTCCAGCAGCTCTTTCTGCTTGTGGCAGGCCCCGTGTGGATGCTGGGTGAGGCTCCTCTGCAGCAGCATTGTTGGAACAGGCCTCCCTGCCATGAAAAGGTGCCTCTCTTAGCAACCCAGCCCCGCTCCTCGGCTAATCCATCCACACACCGAGCCATCCGTTCTGCTGTGATTGGCTCCGTGCTCACCGCATTCCCTGGATTCAATGGGAGAGGGCTGAAAGGAAAAGCCTCCTCCATGCAGTGAGCCTTTCCCAGCTGGGGGATGGCAAGGGCAGGCTCCCACACTGGCCAGGGATGAGCATTTGTTTGCCTTGGCTACAGGATGGGATGCACAGGGCATCCCACTGCTGGCTCTGGGGCAAAGCTTGCTCCTGTTTTGTCACTTGGAAACACAGCTGCTGCTAATGACCACGTCTGCTTTCTGCAGATAAAAAGGGTGAATGCATCTCAGAGATCCTTTGCATTTTCCTCTTGGCCACCTCCCTTCTCCCGTGATGCAGCAGAGTGTGGGGAAGGGCCACGTTGTAGCATTGCCCTGCATTTCTTCTCTGGGAGAAAAGCCAAGTTACATCTTTGCTCAAAAAAAACTGCCCAGTGCTGAGACCCCCCCAGGGTTGGGAGGCTGCTTTTTCTTTTTTCTTCTTTATTTCGACTTTTTTTTTTTTGTCTTGCTGTAGGCAAGGCAGCTGACAGGAAGATGACTGTTAACTTGACAAGATAAATGCCTTCCATCCACAGAGCCTGTGAACAGGCCATTAAAATTATAATCTAATCCTTTATTAAGGGACTTGAACCCGCTCAGGGAAACGGACACAAGAAGCTTTTGAAATCCTTCTGCAGCCTCTACCCCATGTGATGTTAAAAGGTTTCTCACCACAAAACCAGCCATAAGTGTGCTAATGAAATCTTAATTTTCGGTGTGGGTGCTTTACCCCTCGATGAATCTGTCATCTTTCTAATTACTGTGGTATTAAAAAACAGCCTTTGCTTCCAAAGAATTAGAAGTGTTTTGCAAGATTCACTGAAATAGCACCAGAACTTGTTTGTTGTGTTTTTTTTTAAAAAAAAATTCTGACCTGCACAATATGTATTAGGCAGAACTTGTGGCATCAGCTTTCTTTCAGAACATCCTAAAATTATCTTGCTGTTTACATATCATCAATTCTTTTGTTCCATCTGGGATGTGGATCTTTCCTAAATACTGCAGGTATTGAACGGTGCTGTGTATTCATCACTTGCCAAATTTAATGTCAGCCTCTTAGGTAGGAAGGTGCTTGTTGTGCAGTGTATTTTTTTATTCTTTTGATATTAATGGATAGCAGTCTTTCAGAAATACTGGTAAAAAAAAATTCCAAGGTGAATCTTGGTATGTGGGATTAAGTGTAAGCACTTCTTAACCTTCCAATGGGAAAATACACTTTTATCAGCAGAGAAGCAACAGGGCTGATAAGTTCTGTTCTTGGAGATGTGTTTTGTTGTGGCTGTGCTGTGATTTGTGGTTTCAGAACTAGTCAGGAACTTGTCATCCTGATCCAGGTCTGTTCCTGGAAGGATTTTGCATCCAGGGTGTGCTGTGAGCTGTGCCCCTCTGGAAACCCCCGAGGGGATGGAGCTGAGTGGGGTCTGTGGCTGCTGCACTTTGGGGGGGTGTGTTTTATGTTGTCCTAGGGAGCTCTGGGGGTCACTTTGGAGCTCGGAGCAGCCCTGGCTGCAGAAGGGTCTGGTAAATCTGTCTTTGATGTGTTCAGTTTTGTGCAGGACTGAGCAGAGCTGCAGTGTCAGGGGTGGTGACAGGAAGGGGATGTCCCTGGGAAGCACCACTTCAGGATTAATCGTAGATTTTTGTTGGAAAGGACTTTAAAACTTACCTTGTTTCACCTCCTGCCATGGGCAGGGACACCTTCCATAATCCCAGGTTGCTCCAAGCCCTGTCCAACCTGGCTTTGGACACTTCCAGGGACAAGGCAGCCACAGCTTCTCTGGGCACCCTGTGCTGGGGCCTGCCCACCCTCACAGGGAAGAGTTTACTCTGTAATCACAGACTTAGACTAAAGTAAAAGCATTTTGTTAAGTTAAAGGGCACATTTCTAGGCCTTAAGGGTGAGATTTATCCTTTGTGCAAGGAAGAAGATACTGAGTGATCTTGCTCAGCTGAGCAAAAAATACATTTCTTGTCACATAAATCTTCAGGTGCCTCTTCTCCAGTAAGTGGCAATAAAATGGGAGTGGTGGCTGTGTCCATTTTCCAACAGCATTGCAAAATATAGTCTGAGAAGGAAAAAAAAATATATAGTCTTAAAGCTTGAAACTAAGCTTTGAGAGTGCTGCTGGGGCAGCAAAAGAGCAGGGGATGTTTAGTTGCCTGTGGAGCATGCCCAGGTCATTTTCCAGCCAAGAAAAAAAATACTTGGGGGGTAGTTAGACATTCCATATGGGCTCAGAAGAGCCATTCTTCAGCAGCTTTTATGGAGATAGATAGGCTGTAATTAACATCCCATGTAAGCAGCCTGCTTGGGAAAGAAAAAATAAAAAGATGTCCTGGAAAGTCTTAATTTTAACCATTGAATCACAGAATAATAAAAGGGAGGGAAGTATTGAGTTTTTGGCTTTCTGCACATTAAGATAATGTCAGTCTCCCAGGGAAACCTTATCTGGTGGTGGAGGAGGGGACTTCTCCACAGGCTTCCCAGTCTGCACATGTGCAGGACTGTCAGCTGGGGACTGGGAAGCTTAAAATCATTTCAGTGTAGCTGCATGCACGAAGCATATTTTGGATTTAGTTCCAGAGCACTCTTCAAAATAAGGGATATTTTTCCACGTTAAGAGTGTTCAGGAAGAAATTTATGTGTTTTGGCAGTACTGAAATTAGGGTGACTAAAACAAGCAGAGTCTTGTGCTTTGTGGACTGCTTGGGGCTCAGGGTTCCAAACACTGTCCTGGAGGTTTGGCTGCTCTCCCTGAAATCTCCAGGTTTGGTTTCATCCCCACAGACATGCAGAAACTTACCTGAGGCTTCATTGCATGGTTGGATCTCACTGATGCTCCTTTAAGAGAACTGAAGGTGAGGAGAATCAGAAGGACAATTTCAGTTTCTGGCTTGTCCTTATGTTCTCAGTGAGCAGCAGCCCAGAATATTCCTTTATAACCTCTAGACAGACATTAAAGAAACATATTTCGATTTATGCCCTTCTCAGAGTTACAGATAAGATCTAAATGGCACCATTTAGCTACTAGAGCCAGGATTTAAGTTGTGTTAATTCCAGCTGTTGGGCCAAAAACTCTACAAGTGCTAGGATAATGTAAATATTTAATAGACTATTGCCATTAAAAAGATTAACAGCTCTTCAGAGGGGTGGAGCTGGGTCGCAGTTCTCTGGTTTCCATCAAGTCAATGAATTTTAGTGCTGATCTCCCTGGAAAGCTGATCTTGGTCATACTCCATAGAGTGCAGGTTATTTGTGCTGCTGCAGTTTCCTCATCACAGCTTTGCTTTTGGGTAAATCTAGGCCAGCCCCAAACGAGGACAATTCAGCCAAATTAGGCTCTTTTGGTTTTTCCCCATGAAAATGTGCTGAAAAGAAAAGCAGCACTGAGAGAATAGAAAGCTGCTGCAGCAGAAATTATCCCACAGCTTCTCAGTATTCCTTGATTTCTAGGAAGATGATGAGAAGATAATTCATGAGATTCAGAAGGAGGCTGAAGAGGAGCAAAGGAAGAAGAATGGGGGTAAGTCGTCGTTGGGATCAGACTGAGGATGGATGATGGGGCAGCACAGGGTTCCCAGCTACTGATGGGTCTCTGGACCTTCACTGGATTCTGTTCCTCCTGGGAACTGGTCTGTTTTTAAAGTGCAGACTTTTGCTGGGATTGTGAGCAAGCACAAGATTTGTGTCCATCTCTCATGTGGCACCGGTGTTGTGGATGTCTCTGCTTGGCAGAGGGGCAGCAAAACCTCTGAGCTGTGTCGTGGGGGGAACGGGCTGCCCCACATCCCACAGAAGGAAATGTTCCCCCTCTGTGGGGTGGTGTTGGTGAAAGGAGCCAGGCTGGGGAGCTCATGGAGCAAGGGGCCAGCAGTGATGCTGTGGAAAGTGCTTGGAATGGGGAATGCCGATGGCAAATGTCAGCCCGTGGACTGAGCTCGGGGAGCTTTGTCTGTGGGGTGACGGCGCTTTGCTCTCCTCCCCGTGCAGAGAACAGCTTCAAACGCATCGGCCCGCCCGTGGAGAAGCCCGTGGAGAAAATCCAGAGAATCGAAGTCATCCCCAGGCCGGTTCCTCAGAACTTCCACCAGCCCCGGATGCCCCCGTACCCCTTCGTGCACCCCCCGTTCCCTCTGCCCCCCGTGCGCCCCATGTACAACAACATCCCCCTCAACATCGGCCCCATCCCCGCTCCCTACGTGCCCCCCCTGCCCAACATGAGGGTGAACTTTGACTTTCCCCAGATCAATGTGCAGCTGGAGCACAACCTGCCTATGCACTTTGGCCCTCAGCCCCGGCACCGGTTCTGACCTGCCCCCACCTCCAGCACTTGGCAGAGTCACTTGGCAAAAGCCACCCCAGAACGTCACCCCCTCCCCACTCCAGCCCCTCTGGGGTTTAGCCAGCAGCCAGGGGACTCCGTGTCCCTGCACTGCACCCTCTCTAGGGCTTCTCCAAACCTTTGCAATCCAGCATTTCAACCTGTGCTGCAACAGGGTTTGGTGCTACATTCTCAGGGGGCAGAATTCCCCCCCTGAGCTGGGCATCCAGATGTTTTGTTTTGACAAAGCCAGTTCAGGCAGCTGTTGGGAGGAAAAGTGAGACTTTGTGGAACACAGGGATACAGCCATTCCTTGGGGAATTTCCAAAAATCCTGCCTTCCTGCTGGCCAGAGCAGCAAAGTGAGTCTTGAGGGAAGGGAGGAGACACTTGGCATCCAAGGAAGCGTGAGACCTTCAGGAGTGAGGTAACAGGAGGCAGCTGCCCCAGCCTCTCCTGCCTGTGCTGAGGCTCAGGGCTGGGGTTCCTGTGTTCCCCAGCATCCCTCCATCTTGCTGGCACCTCCCAGCAGAAATAAATTGTTCAAAAGCAAGACAATGTAGCATTTTTTGTGTTCCTCACTCTCCAAGTAGAGCGAGGGGTTGGAGCAGCCTTGCCATTGCTGAGGTCCTGGTAGGAAGCCCAGAGTCATGTTCTGTTTGGGGGTGTTAGGAAGTGGCAGGAGATTTGGGCACACAAGTTTTTGGCTGGACTGACCTTGCCCCCTTTGAGGGGGGGCAATTTTTTTCCCCCAAAGGTGTGTGCCCCTCAGCTTCTGAAACGTGGCCTTTGCTTTGCTGTTCTCTAGCATCCCAAACCTCCCCCAGCTTCTGGCAGCAGTGCACAGGCAGCTGCTGGAACCACCTGGAGCCAAAGCTGTGCCCTTTATTGCAAAAACTGCCTGGGAAACACCCAGATAGATGTGTAGGCAGTGATGTGTCCTGGGGTAGGAAAATTGGGAATTTTCCCCATAGCTGCAGCGAGTTGGGAGCCCCCATACATAAATCCTTACAACCCAATGGGCAGCTGGAGCCTCGTGCTGCAGGAAGCTGACTGCTTCCACAGCACCAAATAACTCATGAAAATGTGTGTGTCAGCTTAATTTGCTTTGGGAAAGCGTGTTAAAAGTTAAACCTGAGTATTGCTGGGCTTAGAAAGTGAGGGAAAAGCAAAACTTCCTTGTGAGAAGTGGGGGGTGCAGTGCTGGGCTGTGGGAGGAGGGTGGCACAAAGCCCTTTCTCCACAGCCCTTGGCTGTTCTGTCTGCTGCAGGCCCCATCTAGAAAAGAAAACGGTTGGAGTGGTAAAAAAATCCCTCTTCCCAGGAATGTTGGGCTGGCTTTTAGCAGCCCAGTTGTTCTGTTGTTCTCCAAATGTTTTGTTCTGGCCTTCATCCTGTTCTGTCCTGCTGGGAACTCTCTGGGTGCATTTCCCCTCCTGTCATTTCCCCTGTATTTCAGCATCCAGGTGTTTTGTGGGTTTATTTGTTCTTTCAGGTAAAATTCCCTGTCTCCACCTCACAGCTTCTGCCAAAGCCCCACGTGCAGCATTCCAGGAGCCCGGATCCCCTCGGGTGTGCTCGGAGCGCTGGGCACGGGGTGTCGGTGGGATGCTCCTGGTCAGGGGCCTGGGACAGCATCTGGGGCCTGCTGTCCCCAGGAAGGTCTCCCAGACAGGAGGGAGGACTCCCATGCCTTTTGGAGCTGAGTGTTTTTCCCGTTGCCTGTGGGGCAAACATTCCCTGCAGAGCCCTCTGGCTCCTCTGTGCCATGGCCTCTCGAGCATTAATAACCAACTGATATTCCCCTGCTGCTGGAATTTTCTATTTTGAATTAGTTTATTCCTGGCAGCAGTCTGGGGGCTGCAGGAGCTTTATCACTTGCTGCTCAGCTGGGCTTTGACCAGGTTTAAATCCTGCCTTGCCTCAACTGATTCCTGCAGCAGCCAGGAGCAGGAATCCTGTTGGATTTGGGGAGGGAGGACTTTGTCATAGCAGCTGCTGAGAAAACAGACCCCGGTCAGAAGAAGCAGTGGTGGCTTCCCTTATGGAAAGGGAATTCTGTTTGTTTAATAGCTGAGATTTTCTGGGCTCAAGGGCTGGTCTGGATGAGCCCTCCAGGCTCTCTCCAAGGCATTTGCCTTTCCTGGTGGGTGCAGGAAGCATCAGGCAGTGGAGGGGAGGCACAGCTCAGCTGCTGAACCAGTGGCCCAGGCTATGAAGGAAATGGGATGGTCATCCAGCAAAAAGTGGTGTTGCAGTCCTATCTGTGTGTGTGTCCAGGGATGTGTGGGCATGGAGAACAGAGCTGAGGCAGAGGGAGGTGTGGATGTGGAGCAGAGGGGCTGGAGAAGTGTCAGCAGAGGTGGCAAGGAGAGGTTGTGGCTGTGATCCATCGGGGTCACTGCTGCCCTGGCACAGAGTCATGGTCCTGGGGGAGCCTGGAGGACACAGAGGGAAGAGAGGGTTCCCTGTGTCCCCTTCCAGAGCCAAGGGCTTATTTGTGTCCAAGAGAGGATAAATCAGTAGCTGATCTGTGATGTGCAGGTACAGCATGCCCAGCACTGCTCCTCTCCCCGAGGAAACACCCATTGCACCAAAAACTCGCAGCCCAAGCATGTGGCTGCTTCCCCTCTCTAACCCAGGAGATCTCCAGTTGTTTCTGAATCTCTGTTGATTTATTAAAAAAAAAAAAGAGAAAAAGCCCAAAATTTACTGAGCCACCCAATCCAGCCTTGACCTGGTCTCTATCTCCTGCATCCCACTTTCCCTCCTGCCCCACAGTCTTTGGAACCACTTGTTTAAAGGTTTTGAAGGCAACGAGGAGGTTGCTGTGCCCTGGCTGATCCCATAACAGGTACTTTTCACAGCTAATTGCAGTGTCCCATTTACTTGCCTTAAAGGTGGAGAGAGAAACTTAGTATTTGCACTTAGCAAAACGTTGTATTAAAAGAAAAAAAAAAAAACAAACAACTGTAAAGATGTGCATGTTCTGCAACTTTGTATAACAATAGTTAAAAATAAATAGGTGGTTTATTAAAAAAAAAAAAAAAAAAAAGAGAAAAAACCAAAAAATATTTTTCTTTACATTCTGGTAGTAAACAGTTCTAATATTCTGTGTGTAAAAAGTTCCTGTATTATATTGTAATTTGAATTTTTGTAAATAAATTTGTGCACTCTGGCTTTCACCTGTGTGCTTTTCTTACAGCCATGACCTTGTCCTCCCATCCTGCCTGTGCCAGCCTGGTGCTGGGACAATGCCAGGGAGTGGGGCCAGATCCCAGCCTGTGCTGATGAAAACTCCCCAGGTTGCAAGGCAAGAACCCATTTGACCCTCCTGGAACAGTTTAACCTATTCCATGTGCTCCTGAGGAAGAACTGGAGTGGGATAGAAAATGGTTTCCAGTTGCTCCTTTAAATGGAAAGCAGGGTGGGGGAAGGCTGAGGGGATTTCCCCTCTTGCCGGAGTGGTGGTGAAAGATGGTAAAAGCAGAATCCAGCCTTGAGGGGAGAAAAGGAAATGTGTGCTGGCAGCTGGGGAGAGGGGAAGGGGGAGAGTCCTTCCTGCAGCTGCAGAGCCCCTGCCATGGGTGGGCAGAGCTGCCTGCTGCCCTGGTGGCTGTCACAGTGGTGTCACAGCCAGGCTTGCTCATGCACATGCAGATGTCACAGCGAGGCCATCAGAGCTGCTCAGCACTTCCTGCACTGCCCTGATTTCTTTCTCCCTGTTTATAGTCAGGGCTGCACATCCTTCCTTCCTTCCTTCCTTCCTTTGGCCCTTGCAGGGCTCACACCCCCATGTGATGGTGAAGGTGTCTCTGGGCACTGCCATCCCCCTGTCCCACTGGGATGTGTGCCTGGGGGGAGCTGGACAGCCTTCCCCATCCCAAACCTGGCTGTTTCCAATCAGCTTTACATTTTCTGAGGCAAACAGGAGCCAGTGGGTGCCCAGCCAGGCTGTGGTGGTCAGGGCAGGGGAGCTCTGGCTGTTCTGCAGCTGCTGGGGGTGCTCTTGGTTGAGTTTCTGGGCTGGTTTCAGTTGTCTTGGGAGGGCTAGGGCACATCGTGGCTCCTTTGGCAGGACCTGGCTTGGGCTGGGCTTCCCTCCTTAGTCCTTTATCTTGCCCTCCTCCACATGGCCAAGTAAAGGAGGCCAATTGATGCCCCCCACCCAACCATGCAACCAAACCCCCCATCCCAGTGCTCCTCCCTCCCATCTGGGCCATCCTGTGGATGTGAAACACCTGAGCCAAGAGAAGCTCTGTAGGGCACAGCTTTGCTCCTGGCTGCGAGCGCAGCAGAGCTGGTTTGCAGATGAGGTGGTCCTGACCCATCCATGGGTCACCCACCCCCAGATGCCCCTGGGCTCAGTGGCTTCAGGCTGTTGTAAGCACTCCAGAGGTCACCCAGCCTCCAGCTGGCTTTGGCCTTACACCTCTTTGGAGCCTCTTACTCACCGTTCTCCTTCTACCATCCTCAGCTCTAGAACCAGCTCAACTGTTGTCAGACAAAGGCTCCACCACCCCAAATCTCCACACTTAAGCTCCTGCCTCTTTAAAAGGCTGTTGCAGCCCCAACAGACCACGCATCAGGTTGAATCCGAATGCAGGTTTTATTTTTTAATTCATCTTTCTCCATTTGAAGCTATTTTTTTTTTTTAAGTTATACAAATGGCACTTACAAAAAAATAATAATAATAAAAAAAACAAACAAACCCAAAACTTAAATTTTCAGAGTGAGATGTTTTCAGAGAGTCACGACACCCAATAAGAGGAAACAGGAAAGATGTTGACCTAGTGTCACACGGGAGAAGCCGGAGCAGGAATTACATGGTTGGGACCGTGACGGGGATGGGGAGGAGGCGACACGGGGAGGGGGTGAAGGCCAGCGAGAGTGTGTGCCAAGTCACAGGGTCACACAGGGCTTCAAGACACTCGGTCCTTCGAGGGGCAGCCCCTCCTGGGGGGACACGTGGTGCCGGGGGGCGCGGGCAGCCCCTGGGTGTGAGCGCAGAGCCGAGGTAGAGTCCCAGCCGGGATCCCCTGCGCCCGCCAGGGACCCCAGCCCGGAGTTGTCCCCCTGCCTGGGGACAGCTGCTCGCTCTCCCAGCTGAATTTAGCACCGAGCTCCTGTGGAGGGGAGTCCCTCTTCATGGCTTTAAGGCTGACAAGCCCCTGCCTGGCCTCCGGCAGAAGGGACCGGCCCTGGTTTGGCACGGCAGCGATGCCGAGAGCACCCTTGGCGTGGGGTGGGACCAGCACTCCCCCTCTCCAGAGGGGGCCCACGCAGGAAAAGGCTCCTTGGTGTGTTTGTAGGGAGCAGATACCGGCCCTGGGAAGGCCCCAAAGGATAAAGTGCCTTTCAACACCCTAAGGAACACGCAGCATCACCCGTTACAGACAGCGTTAAACTCTAATGCAGACCTAGTACAGACAACAGCTGGTCACACAGTGCCATGGAGAGCATATATAAATAGAGACTAACAAAAATACTGTTTTGGTCTTTTTTTTTCTTTTTTTCCTTTTCCAGTAGGGTTGTGATTCATGAGAGCCCAGCCCAGGTGCCCTGGGGGTGGTGGGACCGGGAGCTGCCCCCTTGGGGTGCCCGCGGGAGCGGACGCTTCCTAATTCAGCATTAGGTGTTCAGTGATTCACTTCACTATTCCAGTATTTTACGAGAGAGAAAAAAACAACATCAAAGGTACTGAGCAAATATCACTGTGCAAAGTTTGCTAAGGAACTTTTCTATTCTGTAAACCAAAATCTGCAGTTTATGCTTCCAGCCACTGCCCCGGGGAGATCACGTTGGCCAGCCCGGCTCCTGCCAGGACTGAAGCCCGCCAGAGATGGGCTGGATGAAGCCCCCACCCTGGCACGGGCTGGCTCTGTGTCCCCCACACCCTCCCCTCCACTCATGGCAGCAGGACCAGCCTCGGGACAGGCTGGACCCACCATCAGGGTCTGGGATGCTCCTCCAGAGCCAGAAGCACAAGGAGGGGTGGAGGGACAGGAGGAGCACGGGGCTCCATGAGATGAAAGGCTGAGGCTTTCCAGACAGGATCACCCTAAAGAATCATTTCCAGGTGTTTGGGGGAGGGGCAGCTTGCTGTCCCTTCCACAGGGATGCACTGGCACACGCCAGCCCCATCCCCAGGGATGCTGTGATATGAAAGGTCACCTCTTACAGCTCAGCTGGGGATGAACCTGCCCCACAATCCAGGAGGGGAGAGAAGCTGCTGGGACCAGCCAGCTGAGCCAGCTGAGCCCAGCAGCATCGCTCCACCCCTGGCTGGAGCAGGGCAGGGCAGGACGGATGCTCCAGGGACACTGGCAGCACAGTCTGAGGCTGTGCCAGTGCTGATATGGCAGAAGCGAGCACAGAGGTGATCTTATTCCCTTTTTATAATCGAGGAGAGGAAAATAAACTACCTAAGGTGATGCTCAGGGCCAGGAGGGGGATACAGCCATTTCCAAGCCCAGCAAACCTGGAGGGAGGCAGGGATGGGGGGATAGAGACAGACCCCTCTACAAAGCTACAGGCAGGCAGCCCCACCACTTTTCCAGTTCTTACAGGGATTTACGGAGACCCACCTCCCACATAACGCACCAACTCTATGGCAGGAGGGAAGGGCAAGCCAGTCTGAAAATCCTGTTACAGAGAGGAGAAACAGAACCCAAAGGAAAAGAGGACAGGAAGGGAAAGAGAAGTTGGCAACAGGAGGTACCCTAAAGTGCATTAATATTCCCAGAGGGTGGAGGCGTCGATGGTGTCGGCCGATGCCTTGAGCACCCCGGCGTGGTCGCCCTTCAGGTATTTGCCATTGATTTTGATGGCCACTTTGTTATAGTCGCAGAACTCAAAAAAGAAGTCCACGGGGGTGTCGCTGCTGCTGGTGACGGACGATTCGTTCCCCACCATCCAGTACTTCCCAGTGGTGTCTGCAGGAGAGGGGACACAGCGGCCTCGTGAGCCACCACGGGGACCCCAAAGGCCACCGCCCCCCAGCCCGCAGCTCCCCTGGGGACTCACCCTTGATGTTGTAGGCCCCGTCATTGAACTCCAGCTGGAAGACGTCGTAGGAGGAGCGGTTGGAGTCCAGGGTGCCGGTGACCTTGCGGCAGCCGATGAAGCCGTGCTCGCCGCGCAGGACGATGATGGGCCTGTTGATCAGCTTCATCACGAAATGCTCCGTCTCGCCTGCACCGAGGGGACAGGGGCTGTGAGAGCAGCCAGGGGGGCACAGAGCCAGACCCCAAAGCTGGCAGGCAGCGGTGAGGAGCAGGGGCTGTGCCCCTCACCCATTTCTCACCCATCCATCTCACAGCACATCAGTCACTAAGAGAACTCATTGCCTTAGCATCACTTGGAAGAAGAGCTTGGTTCTGGGGGGACCTTTTTTCATCCCCTGCTGCCCCAGTGTGGGGTCCCCAAGTGTCCCTTACCCGCTGTCTCCATGGAGGCTGCCAGCTGCCCGTTCTTCTTTGCTGTCACGTACTTGCCGTTGGCAGCTTTCAGGGTGATGCGTTTGTCGCACCACTCGATGTCAAAGTAGCAGCTGGCGTTCCTGTGGGGCAGAGAGGACAGTCAGCGAGCTGTGAGGGAGGGTGGCCCTGCCACTGCCACCCTGCTGGCTTGGAAAGGGCCACGGCTGGATGAGGAGAGCCGGATTCGATCTGTTTTTGCAGGATGAACTGTGCTGTGGTGGCCATCCCGCTGGGAAGCCCTCGCCCCGCGGGCAGGAGCCAGGCAGGCAGCCAAAGGCACTTTTGGGGTTTCCGCGTGGCTCTCAGGGTTGAACTGCAGGGCAAAGCATTTCCACAGCCCCAGACAGTCAGGAAGGATTATGTGGCCCCAGGGACTTCCAGAGCATCGTGGGCGGCAAGCCCCAACCCATCCCTGGCTTTCCCAAAATGCACCGCCTCTGCTGGGAAGCGTTTGGGATGAGCACCCAAGCTGGAAAATCCCCCTTGAATTCCCCTGGGAGATGCAGAGGGTGCTCTGAAGCCCAGGCACTGTTCTGAGCAGCTGGGGACAGGGGACTCACTTTGTGGAGGCGGTGGACTGGATGCCCCCGTTGGAGGTGAGGGTCCAGTACTTCCCGGTGTAGGTGCGGAAGGCGCATTTCTTGGTGTCCTTGTTGATCTCCAGCTGGTAGGTCTCCTGGTCACCCTCCTCGTCCTGGTTGGCCGAAAGGTCCATCCCTACAGAGCAGAGACAGATGGAGATGGGTATGGGACCACAACCAGCCTCCAGCAGGTCCAGGCACAGAGCAGCCCAGGAAACCCAACCTTGCTTCCTGGGTGAGCAAATCCCTCACACGGATCTCCCCTCTGGCATTTGGGGTTCAAATCCAGGTTTTCATTTGGTTATTTGGCATAAAGGTCCTAAACGAGGGGTGGGCAGCCGTGAGCTTCCACTCCTGACTCAGCAGCTCGGTCACAATGAAGCAAAGACCAATGTAGATATTTTATAAGGAAAAGGGCTGCAGTTTTTCCAAAAGGTGACAGCCAGGTTACCCAGCCCATTAGCAGAGGCCGCCGCAGCACCCATGAATCCCAGTTTGTGGCATGTTTAAGAACCATGACAATGTTTTTCATCCCCACTTGTCACATCCCACTGGGGCAGTGAGGTGTGCAGGAAAGCCCCAGGGCAGCCAAGCCTTTCCCTGGCTCTCCAAAACCATCAGCACCGGCCTGTCCCCAGCTCTGCCAGCCAGGATGGCCCATCCCTGCTCCCAAGGGGCCACAGACAGCATTTCCATGCAGAGGTGGATGCAGCTGCTCCTGGGGCCACCAGCCACAGCCCTGGGCCACCGCCAGCCACGTGTGCATCCACCTCAGGCCCTGAGCAGAAGCAAACCTGCTTAGTCAGGACTAGCGGGGCCAAAACTGCTCCAGAGCTCTCCAGCTTGGTGGATTTCAGCCTAAAAACACTTTGGGGATGTGAGCCACAAGCTGCAGCCAAAGCTCTGTGCTGGGTTTTGGGGAGGGAGTGCAGAGCTCAGCCCCACTACTGAGCTTAGTGAAATGGGAGTTTGGTGGAACTGGATGAACTTCCCAGAGCCAAACACACCTGCATCCCTCCCTGCTGCATGGGTGCAAAGGGTTCATGTCCACATTCTGTCCAGTTCTGCTCCTCTCACTAAAGTAAAGACGTGGAGGGGCTGGAGCACGTTCAGAGAAGGGAAAGGGAGCTGGGGAAGGGTCTGGAGCACAAGCCTGGTGAGGAGCAGCTGAGGGAGGTGGGGGCTGGCCACGTGTTAGCCCCTCACACCTCCACGATGCATCCCAGTTTCTCGGCTGCTGGGGTTTCAAGCAGTGCTGTGCAGGCACTGGGAGGGTTGCTGGGGCTGCAGTCTCAGTGGCCCCACAGCTCTGGGAAGCCACCAGGAGGTCCCACCAGCTGCACCCAGCTGTCCTGCACACTCCTGGGGCTCCACATCCCCTGTCCGTGTCTCCCATCAGGCCCCATCCCAATGCCCAGGAGCAGCCTCTGCTTTGTATATCCATCACCCACCTTTCCCAAAGGGATCAGGCTTTGTTCCCAAAGGGATCAGGCTTTGAAGGCGTCACTTTGTGGGCCGTAATTTTATCTCCCACATCCCAGCTGGCCCATGACTTCCACCTGTTCACAGTACCCCTCCTCTCGGCAGGCAGCCTCCAGCACCTCTTTCAGCTGCACCCCTGGCAGTGTTCAGTGTCAGGTTGGATGGGGCTTGGAACAATCCAGTCTGGTGAAAGGTGTCCCTGCCCATGATCCCTCCCAACCCATCCCGTGATTCCCCTGATGGACAAGCAGACACCCCGGTGCTTCACTCCCCAGGGTATTTGGGCAAGGCAGGGGGCAGTGGGTGCTGATGGCCACCAGCCCAGCCCCACTGGCCATGTCCTCAGCTCCTGGAGCCATCCCACAGTCGCCGCCTCCCAGCGCTGCCGGGGGCTGAGCTGGTGCTTGTGGGAACATTTGGTTTTGATTTCGCATCCTGGCGTCAGGCAGCTCCAGCCCCAATCCAGAGCTGTAAAACAGAGAGAGAGGAGCTCTGCGGGGGCTCACGGAGAGGTTGGGCTGTGGGGAGGTGACCCTGGGGGACACAGCCCATCCCTCAAGGCTGGCTGCACCCCTGGACCCCCCAAACCTGTGAGAGCTGTGGGGGAGGAGTGGGGCTGGTGCTTGCCCTCAGTGACTTTTCTGGGAAGAACTCTGTGAGCTGCAGGGCCAGGCTGGGCAGAGCCAGGGGGACTCCACAGAGCAGGGCTGGAGACAGGACAGGGAGTGCCAGGAGCCTCCAAACTCTGCTCCCTCTCCCCACAGACCCCGGCACGGAGCACAGTGCTCACACCGGCCTCCCCAGCTCTCTGCCAGCCCATTTTCCACACTCCAGGACCAGGAGGGTCTCCCACCGCCCCAAAAGCAGCGTGGGGTTGGGTTACACATCTCAGCACAAAGGAATGCGGCTACAGCCAGGGCAGGAGGAGGCTTCAAAGGGCTGGAACTGAGCTGCAGCGGGATGGGGAAACCGCAGGAGGGCACGGGCTGCGTGTGAGGCTGCAGGAGCACGGTGGGTCCCTCAGAGATGTCCCCGTGTCCCCGGGGAGGAGGACAGGCTGTCCCCACCGCCACCCCCGGCCGCGCTCCCCCGCAGCGCCCGGCTCGGCCGCTCCCACTGCAATCACCGATTAATTAACGCTCTTGGTAAATTCACTCTGGAGCTGGCACTGCTCTTCCTGACCTTGACGAAGCTGCTAATTACAGCTGGAGGCAGGAGGGGGCCTTTGGGAGGGGGGAACGCCTGCGCACCCCAAAATTGCCGGCGTGGGATGTGCTCCGGCTCCGTCCGCAGCTCGGATGGTGGGGAGAGCGCAGAGCTTGGGAGGGCTGAGGCATGTCTTCACCCCAGGCCTTCCTAATGCCGAGTCCCTGGACTTGAGGTGCTCAGACAACAGAAAAGAGCTCCTCAGCTGCCGAGGTTTCCAGGATGGATGCCGGAGCCCTCGCTGCTCTCCAGCCGTGACTGTGGATGTACCAGGAGGCCTGAGGCCATCCCAGAGCAGGCACACACCTTCCTCTACCCCCTCCAGAGCTGGGCCTCTCCCTCTGAAGGAGCAGTTTGTTGGAGCTCTGTTGGAGCTCCACACCACGAGAAGCTGCAGATCCAGCGTGGGGGCACATTCAGGGCAGGATGAAAACTTTCCCTCTGCACTCAGCTCACACAGAATTATCTCCCAAGGGATGCCGGTGAGAGCCAGAGGGATGAGCTCCATGGAGAGGAGAGCACCTTTCTCATCCTCCAGCTCGCCTTTCAAAACCCCCACGGTTACAGCTGCAAACATCCGAGCCCGGGTTGCTCCAGGGGGCTGCTGGCAGCAGGGCAGGACCTCAGGATGGGCCTGGGATGCCAGCACAGGTCGGGTCTGGGCTCCCTGTGGGCTCTGGCACCTCCACCCAGGGCTGCACCCACACCCGTGCTCAGAGACTGCTCCTGCCCCCTCCCTGCCCTTCAGCTGGGCTTACCCTGCACCCCTGCAGAAATCCAAACAGGTTTTTGTGTAAATCCAGCAGCCTGGAGCACGGGGAGCCAGCAGCATCCCTGCTGAGGGTGCAGCTCTGCAAAGGGGTCACGGCTAGGGGTGAAACATGAATTTCCTGAAAAACCCACCCCCTCCCCTTCCCTGTGGATTTCCTGTGGCTTTGTGGTATCCCCCAAGTGTCAACAGGCCACTTGGCATCTCCAGATGAAAAATCTACATCCGAGCCTTCGTGCCCCCTGCCCTGGAGCCGCATCTTCCTGCCAGATGAACTGGGGGGGTGAAAATCGGGCTCAGCCCATGGCGGGAGGGGTCCCGGCCCCAGGGCAGAGCTCCCCACTGCCAACACGGCACGTCCGGGCTCGCTCGCCCTCCTCCCCAGCTCCTGGAACTCCTCAGTCCCAGCCAGCCCACCCTCTCACCTCGGCCGGGCGGGGGCTGCCGGGGAGCAGCGGGGAGGACGCCAGAGCTCTGCCCCCGGGACCCTGGAGCCCACAAAGGGCCCTTTGTTGCCGCAGCCGGGCTAGAAAGGAGCCATTGAGCGGGGAGGAGGCTGCTCCTGCTGGCAGCACCGCTCCCTTCGGGCTGCAAACCGGAGATGGGAGCTCTCAGGGAGCCCGGGGATCCCACCGGGGCTGGACGGGTGCCAGGGATACCCGCAGCCCCTGTGCCGGGGCAGAGGCAGCGCTGGCACCCATCCCTTGGTGCCCGGGAGTGTTTGTGTCGCGGTCCCCGTGCGCAGGGGATGCTGACACCCGCCACCCCCGGCACTGCCAGGAGACTCCAGGCCAGGAGCCGACTTGGCACTGGTGGGACACCACTGTTCCAAAGCTGGATCCCAGCCAAGGGAACCACAGGAGAACCCCACGAACCCATCCCTGCTCCTCCCATGGGGCAGAGGGGGGACAGCCACTGCCATCCCTTCTCCCTCACTGACTCCACACAGGAAGAAGCTGCCTTGTTCAGTCACCCCCTGCCCGCATATCCCGCATATCCCGCATATCCCGCATATCCCGCATATCCCGCATCCCCAGGGGCCACGGGAGCGTTTGCCAGCAGCCCGGCGGGGAGAAGGGCTGTCTGGAGCCGCTTCCTCCGACGGCTGCTTCTGCTGCCCCTTGGTAACCTTGGGACTTCCACAACGGGAGGAGGATGAGCCTCCAGCCTTTCACTGCCATCGGAGAGGAAAAACCGCGTGGAAACGGCTTCTCCAGGATGTGCAGCCCCAGCGCGGCCCTTCCCGCTGTATTTTGCTTGGAAAGGGGCCGGGCACAGCCCTGAGCCCTCTGTTGCTGGGGAGATTTGTTCCCCCTCCTTCCTGCTCCCCCATCCCTTCCGAATTAGACAAAGCCGGAGGGTGGGCCAGCAGCATTCCCACCCGCTCCATGGGGTCCCCCGCCACCACGGGGTCCCGCTCCGCCACCGCTCCGTCCCTCACATCTCCCCCCACATCTGCTTTCCCCATCGCTGCTGACAAAGGGCTGCAGCAGCCCTTCCCCCACGGCGCTGCGGCAGCCTCCCGCCATCGCCATCCTCTCCTCCTCTTCCCCAAATCCCCGTGCCTGGCAAAACAATCCGCACTGCCCATCTTGGCACATTTCCTTATGAATTTTTCACGGGCTGCTTTGCCCCCGGACAGGAGAGCAGCAGGGAGCTCCCCGCACGGATCCCAGCGAAGCAGCAGCCTTGCAATACAACACACACACAGAAAAAAAAATTCCCCGCTGTCCCTCCAGGCTTTGCTACGTGCTCGCACCCATCCCGCAGCCGGCGTGCGCCGGCCTGACCTGGAACGCCGGGGATGAGCCCCGGGGCACCCGCGGAACACAGCGGGGACCCCCGGCACG